CCCCCCACCACTTCCACCTCATTTTCCACATTGCCTATCTTTCCTATATGCCAAATACCCCAGAATATTTAGTTCCCACCCTTGATCTTCCTGTAACCACGTCTCAGTAATGGTTACTAGATCATAGCTGTTTGTTTCTATTTGTGCCATTAATTTGTCCATCTTATTATGAATGCTTCATGCATTCAGATATAGCGCCTTTAATTTTGACTTCTTGCTATTTCCCCTACTCGCTAATGCCCTATTTTTTGAGCTCCTTTGTCCCTCCTTGACACACTCTGTTTTATCTCCCTTGCTATTCTGCTCTCCCACCTTCATCGTTTTTAGTTTTGCTGGTTTACTTCTAACTGTAACTGTAACCTTCCCTCCCCCCCACTTGGTAGTTTAAAGCTCTGCCGATATGGATTACCACAATTGGATCCTCCCCCTCCTGCCTCAAATTCTTCTCCAGCTCTGAAGAGATGTCCTTCACCCTGGCCCCAGGAAGGCAACAGAGCCTTTGTGTCTCCTGGTTGCGGCTGCAGAGAAGTGTGTCTGTCCTCCTAACAGTCTTGTTCCCAATTACAACTAAATTCCGTCTATCTCCCCCCACTTGTGTGGCCTCCTGTATAGAGGTGTTGGAATCAGTTTGCCCATCCTGCTCCTCGCAGGCTTCCTTGTCCACACAGGTTGCAGGTATCTTGTACCTGTTGGACAAGGTTAAAGCCTGGGGCTTCTCCGCCACTCTCTCTGCGGTCCCCTTACCTGCCTGACTGTCAGTCACCCTGTTCTGTCCCTGACTAGTAACGTAATCTATACATTCCCTGAGCCTCAGGGGAGTGATTGGCTCCAGGATGATATTATCTAGGAAGCTCTCACTTTCCCTGATACTGCGCAATGTCTGCACCTCAGATTCCAGCTCAGCTACTCTGAGCTGGAGCTTCCTCAGTTGCAGACATTTGCTGCAGATGAAGTTGCCCGGGCTCAGGCTGTCCTCCATCAACTCCTATATACCGCAGTCTTTGCACATCACCTGCCATGCCATTCTCTCCTTTCTCTCTCACTCTGCATTTTAGGAGTGTTTTAAAAAAGAAATTTAAGATTTTTTAAAAGTTTTTTTAAATAGTTTTTTGTTAGTATTTTTGTTAGTGTTTTTGTTAGTTGTTTTTGTTAGTGGTTTTGTTAGTGGTTTTGTTAGTTCTGTTTCCCTGATCCACCTGTTTAAGTATGACGTCACGCTGATGTCACTTGTCATTTTTCTACAGCTCCCCCGCTCCGCCCGGCTCTGTCCCGGCTCCACTCCCCGACTAGTGTTAGTGTAGCTATTGGGACCATTAATGTATATAGCACTCTCGCCTTTGAGTCAGAAGGTTGTCATTTCAAACCCTGCGTCAGGACTTCGACCTAAGAATTCAGGCTGGCTCTGCAATGCAATGTCCAATGCTTTTACCACAATGCCATCGTTCAGATAAGAAGTTAAACCAAGGTCCCGCTGCCTATTCAGGTGGCCTGAAGAATCCACTTTAAAATATCCTGTGGCATTCTTTGGAAGAGAAGGGAGTTTCTTCCATTTTTATGGCCAACAATTCTCCAGGTAAAATGGATTATTCACTTCATGGCTGCTTGTGGGACCTTGTGTGCACAAATTGCCATGTTCAACTACAAATACTACGCTATACTTTAGAGAAAAACTGTGAAGCTTTTCAAAATGTTTTAATGTTATAGGTACTATATCAAATGCAAGGATTATTAATATTAAGCTCTTTCGACATTATGCTACAGCGAAGCATCTTTAGTTCTCTGAAGATATTGTGCATGAGGCCAAGACTTTAAAATCATAATCCTTGCATTTGATATAGCGCCTTTCAAGTCGAGAGGATGTCTCAAAGTGTTACTGTAAAGTGCCTTTCTCCTAATTGATCCCCAAGCCACAAGCACCAAACATTGATTCAAAGCACTACGAAAAAAATGAAACTCACCAGGCATATCTATTGGCTTTGTAAACCATTTAAGAAATTTCTGAGGTTTAGTTCCCAAAGTTTTGGCTAATGGTAACCATTGTGCAGCAAGTGATTTGCTGTATATATAACTGTATATATAACTGCTTTGAAACAGCAAAATACTCAAGAATATCAAAAAGCTAGCGTGCAAAGTATCTCTGCTTCAGACAGTTGGGGAAAGGGATAAACCGATGTGCTAGGTATTGCTGAGAGCAGAGCTTATAATCAGTGATGCGGTGCTAAATTTGATGGTGCCTGAGTCCTGCAAAAATGTCCTTCTTGCTTTCTCTTTTCCCATCAACCTGTCCACACTCCTAATGGACAATCTGCCGTCCATCAACCTGCCCTAAGCTCCCGTTGGGTAATCCACCTGTCCATCAACGTATCCCACATTCCTGTTGGACCATCTACCTGTCCATCAACCCATCCTCCACTCCTATTGGACCATCCGCCTGCCCATCAACCCATTCTCCACTCCTATTGGACCATCCGCCTGCCCATCAACCCATCCTACACTCCTATTGGACCATCTGCCTGCCCATCAACCCATCCTACACTTCTATTGGACCATCCGCCTGCCCATCAACCCATCCTACACTCCTATTGGACCATCCGCCTGCCCATCAACCCATCCTACACTCCTATTGGACCATCCGCCTGCCCATCAACCCATCCCATGCTCTCATTGGACCCGTGACATATCTCTTTGCTTCTGGTCAGCAGCATCATGTTCCTCCTCACTCCTGTAACTCCTGCAGCCTTAACCTTCCTTTGTTATTGACTCCAACATGAACCATGGTAACTGTCTGTGCTCCTTCCCTCGCCAACATGTGGAGTCCTGCAGCTCAGTGGTCAGAGCACTCGCTTTGCAAGCGAGAGACCTGAGTTCAATTCCAGGCAGAGGGCGAAACCTTGGGCAAGTTTCCTTACTCCACACAGAGCCTAATAATAATCCCTCCAAAAACAATAATACACTGGTCATTTTCAATCTAAGACTGTTTGTGGGACATTGCTGTGTGCAATTGGCTGCTGCGTTCGCCCACAAATATACAGTCAATTCACTTTAGAGTGTGTTCTGTGAAGCGCTTTGGGACGTCCTCCCGACGTGAAAAGCGCTATATCAAATGCAAGGATTATTATTATCTTTAAGACCTGCTCTGCTTCCTCTCCCACACCAGCCTCTGAGAGGCTTATCATTGAGACTTTTTAGCGTGGTTACAAAATCATCTATCCATTCACTAACCGTTGAGTTACTTATTACCACAGCATTTCTTACATTCTTTTGCAACTACTTGTTCTGCTGTGCCCTGGCTTTTTCCAAGGCTGTGATCCCCTGAGCCACAACCTTTGCCTTTGGTTTTCATTGCTCCGTACCTTTCTTAGCTTTCTATGGGAATCACTGTGGTACTTTCTACCCTCTTTTTCCATCATGGCGGACAGTCACCCACTTCCCTTCATCGCTAACTTTTTCTGTCTGGAATAATCACCTGCTGGAACATGTGCTGCAGAACCCCCGCCCTGTTGACAGCCCCTCGAGCTCCTAACCTCTCCTTTTACTCCCTAAGTCACAATCTTGAATTCATGTTCTCTTGTCCTTGAATCCCAACTAGCAAAGAGAGTTTTCACAATTCCCTCAAATATTTGCATTATCTTAAACATCTCGATCTATCACCTCTTAAACCTTGTCCGTGCTCTGACCCCCCTCCGCCATCCATTCTTGCCTGGCTTCACTGGCTCCCCATCACCCAAAGATCCTCATCCTCACCATTAAAATCCTCATCTTTGCTCCATCTTACCTCTGCGACCAGCTAAAACCTTACCAAACCACCCACTCCCTCCGCTCAGCGGGCATTGCCTGCTCCATGTCCCCTGCCCTGTCCGCTGCACGATTGACCGTCGAGCTTTCAGCCTTCCTGCCCCCCAACCCCTGGAACTCCATCCGGAGGCACTGCACCTTACACCCCCCCCCCCACCCCCCGCCCCTTGCCTCCTTCAAGGCCCGTCTCAAGACCCTCACTCTTTGAAAGTGCCTTCAGTCCTCCTCCCGCCTCTCACCCTTTGCCGTCCAGCGCCTTGGAACATCCTCCCGACATGAAAGCCACTGTGCAAATGTAACGTGTTATTGCTGTTGCATCCAGACGATCGATACCCAGTGCGATACACAGCCATCAACTTTCACCCCCCCATCAAAAAAAAAAGAGTAATCAGATGCAAAATGGTTTGCAGAGGTCCCTCAATCTGGGATGGGGGGGGGGGGGGGGGACAGTTTTTTTGGGGGGGGATTGATGAATTGCAATTCAGGATGAGGAAAGTGGGGGGGGAGGTGGTGGGGGGGGGGTTGGGGGGGGGCATTCAAGATTAGTATCTGCTGCACGATTGGCAGAGTGCTGCCCGGGTTCCTGCTCCAGCCTCTGGTCGTGTCCTGACGGTCTGTCAAACCAGTCATCTCACCGGTAGAGTCGCCTCCCAACAACGTGCGCAAAAACAAAGAGGGTGGAGACTGGGGGGGGAGGGGGGGAGGGGGGGAGGGGAGGGGGGGGGTTTAAAGCCAAGAGAGATCGGCCAATCGCTTTTACAGAGGAGGAGGAGTGCAGAGGGGGTGAGACGGTGCGGTGGAGGAGCGAATGCAATGGTTGTAGCTCCTCTCCCGGTTTCCGATCCACAATTTCGTATCGCGGCGTCTACGAGAGGAAGGAGTGAGTGTGTGAGTGTGTGAGTGGGTGAGTGAGTGAGTGGGTGAGTGTGTGAGTGAGTGAGTGAGTGAGTGTGAGTGAGTGAGTGAGTGAGTGAGTGAGTGGTGAGTGGTGAGTGAGTGGTGAGTGAGTGAGTGAGTGAGTGAGTGATGTGAGTGAGTGAGTGGTGTGAGTGAGTGGGTGTGTGAGTGAGTGAGTGAGTGAGTGTGTGAGTGAGTGAGTGAGTGTGAGGGGGTGTGAAACATGCAGACAGGTTGGGGCCGGTGCCCGGGCAGCCGGTGAAGGGCGGACCCCCCCCCCCCCCCTCCCCCCTCCCCCCCCCACCCTGATGAATCCCCCCAGACTGGGTCTGCTCCTGTGCGCGGTGACGGGCAGCGCGATCTGTCTGTGCATCTACATCAGCGGCCGAGTCGGGGATCCCCGGCCCCGGCCCTGGAGCTTCGACGGTGCGAAGTGCGGCGACTACCCGGGCGAGCTGTGCGCCGCCCTGTTCGAGGGCAAACCCGCGGCCGCCCTGATCGGAGCCGAGTGCCAGAAGCTGCACCGGCCCGACCCGTTCGACCCGTTCGACCCGGACCGGCCCTTCAACTGCTCGCGGCTGGTGCACGAGCACCACTACATCACGCAGCCCCTGTCCCGGGAGGAGGCCGACTTCCCGCTGGCGTACATCCTCACCGTCCACAAGGACCTGCAGACCCTGGAATGGCTCTTCCGAGGGCTGTACATGCCCCAGAACGTGTACTGCATCCACGTGGACAACAAGACGTCTCGGGAGTTCAAGCGAGGGGTGAGGATGCTGGCCGGCTGCTTCGACAACGTCTTCCTGGCCTCCAAGTGGGAGCGGGTCGTGTACGGTGGCTTCTCGCGGCTGCAGGCCGACGTGAACTGCATGCAGGACCTGATCGTGTCGCCCGTCCGGTGGAAGTATGTCATTAACCTGTGCGGCCAGGATTACCCGCTCAAGACCAACCGCGACATCGTGCAAACCCTCAAGAACCAGTGGAAAGACAAGAACATCACCCCCGGCATCCTCCAGCCCAGCCACATGAGGCACAGGACCGCGCATGTCCACAGGGAGTACATCTCGCCCCAGGAGGCTTATGTCATCAAAACCCGGACCAAAAAGGGAGATGCAGTCCCTCACGGCCTCAAACTCTACTTTGGATCTGCCTATTACGCCCTCACCGCAGAGTTTGTTCATTTCGTGTTGAAGGACCAACGAGCCAAGGACTTGCTTCGATGGTCAAGAGATACCTACAGCCCCGACGAACATTATTGGGTGACGTTAAATCGCATAGCAGGTACATCATTTCGCTATCACTGCAGTGTCACATTTCTACAGCGGATTGAGGTCAGCGCTCATGACAAGCGGGTGTAGTGTTAAGCATTTTGTAAAATAATAATCCTTGCATTTGATATCATAACAATAAGAATCCTTGCCTTTGATATAGCGCCTTATCACGTCATCAAGAAGTCTCAAAGCTTCTCACAGAATAAACAGTAAAGTGAATTGACTATATATTTTGTTGGTGAAACGCAGCAGCCAATTGCTCTCAGCAGTGTCCCACAAATGTGGATTGGGTAACCAAATTTTTATTACTATATAGAGCCTTATCACATTGTTGGGACTTCTCAAAGAGCGTCACAGAATATACAGTAAAGTGAATTGACTGTATATTTTGTGGACAAAATTTTAGACGCTGAACTCAATCTGAAAATGCTTACCCACTGTCACGGGGAAGCACTCGATGAGAATGCAAGTTTGTCTCGTAACCGAGAGGCTAATTGTCCGTAAGAATCGGTTGCACCTTGTGACATCCTCCCGATGCTATACGAATGCAATATGTTCTTGTTGTGTACCATGGTACAGTGCTGCAGAAGGGAGAGCTGCAATGTCAGCCAAGAGCAAACAAGCGGGCAGCTTCACAGATTGTTAAAAGGCAGAGCTCTGAGCCTCGACCTCTGATTGATCCCAGAATGTCGGCCAGGCCTCTTCACCACACTCACGCACTGACAGAATGACTGCTCCTGATCAGAATGCAATGGTCTGACAAAAAGCATCCACATCAAAATTTAAAACACAATGGTCGGTCATTTCACAAATTGTGCCAGTTTGTAGCTGTGCTTTTGTACTGTCACAATAGTGCGGTGAATAAAGGCAACAATCGGTTCCAGAGTTGTGGGTAGGAACAATTATCGCGCAGCTGAAAAGTAGGATCCAAACCTACCTTCAGCAACGATAAAAATTAACAAATCGCAGTGATCTGACACCTTTCACGTCGGGAGGACATCCAAAGGCGTTGAACAGTCAAAGGTTTGCACCCAAGTTGGGGGGTTGGAGTCCAGAGCAGTGGAGGGCAAGGGGGGTGGAGGTGGGAGGATGACGGAAGGCACGGTCAAAGACGAAGGTTTTGAGATGGGCCTTGAAAGAGGCAAGGGAGGGGATGAGATGGAGAGGCTATTAGATGGAGTTCCAGAAGGAGGTTGAGAAAGGCTAAAGGCCTGATCCTGATGTGAGTGGGTAAGGGAGGGATATAGAGCAGGCCAGTGGCAGCCAAGTGGAGAGGGCAGACAGGTTGGTAAAGTTTTAGTAGGTTTCAGAGACAGAAAGGAGCAAGACCATGGAGGGCTTTAAAGGTGAGGACAAGGATATTGAACTGAGTCCTCTGGGGGATGGGGAGCCAGTGAAGCCGGGCAAGGATAGGGGCGATAGGTTTATGAGGCTTTGTGCGGGAGAGGACACGAACAGGTAATGGCACAGATGTAGGTTTTAAAAGACAGTTGAGGGTCGAACAAAACACCGAGGTTCTGTAGAGGTGAGGTGAAGAGTGCATCCATGAAAAGTGATGCTGTCAGTGCTGAGATGACAAGACACTGATGGCAGCCAAACAGGAAGGCCTTGGTTTTGTCGACATTCAACTGAAGAAAATTGGCTCTCATCCTGGACTTGATGTCTGATGGACACTCAGTCAGGACAGCAGTGTTCCTGGAGTCGAAGGCTGGAGGCAGAGAGATAGAATTGAGTGAAGGTAAGAGCAAAACCAGGCAAGGACAGGGCCATGAAGGTGGAGCTGAAAGGAGAGATAGTAAAGGAAAATAGAGTGATCAAGAGTGTTGAAGATGGCAGAAGATTGAGAAGGATGAGGAGAATGTCATTCATAACTTTGACTAAGGTCGACGCTTTCCGGGGCTTCCTCTGCCCTCTTGTCCTCCTGGACCTCTCTGATGCATTTGACACAGTCGACCATGCCATCCTCCTCCGCCGCCTCTCCTCCCTCATCTACCTCAGTGGGACCACAATCGCCTGGTTTGAGTCCTACTTAATTAACCACCATCACTTTGTCTCCACAAACGTTTTTTTTTTACCTCCCACCCCTGCACCTGCGGTGTACACCACGGCTCCATCCTTGGCCCCCTCCTTTTCCTTAATTCCCTTTTGGCAATGTCATCTGCAGACACAGGGTGAACTTCCACATATGTGAGTATGACATCATCCACATCTACTTCTCCTCATCCAGCTGTGACTCCAGGTCCGCTTATGTCCTGCCAGCTTGTTGGTCAGACATCAAGGCCTAGATGAGTCAAACTTCCTGCAGCTGAACGTCAACAAACCAGAAGCCATATGGCACCCGCCTACTCTATGTCCCTCCTTGGCTCCCATCAACTTCTTTTCTCCTGCAGCTCTGACCTCAACCTCTCCAGACTCTCCAATGACTTACAGAACCTGTTCCAAACCTAGATGTCGGGTTGACCCCCCAGCTGTCCTTCCTACCTACATCCGGTCCCTAACAGAGGTCGCTTTCATCCACCTCCTTCTCATTGCCCATCTCCGACTGTACCTCACCCCCAACGCAGCCAAAACCCTCATTCACACTGTCGTTACCTCCCACCTCAACTATTCCAATGCCTTCCTTGCTGGTCTCCACCGCCTCTGTTAAGTGCTTCAAGATGCGCTGGGTGAAGGGCGCTATGTAAATACAAGTTGTTGTTGTTATCTCTTCGCTTTGGGCAGCACAGAAACCATATTGGAGAGGTTCATAGAGGGAGTGCCGGGAGAGGAAAAAGGAAAACTGGGAAGCAACGATTCATTCCAGGATCTTGGAAAGAAAAGGAAGGTTGGAGATGGGGCGATAGTTTGAGAACAGAGATGGATCAAGGGAAGGTTTTTTTGAAGGTGGGATGATGATGGCTGCTTTTAATTATCAATAGCTTTGGAAGTTTAGCCGCCACCCTCTCTCCTGAAGATTTAGGAAATATACTGAGTTAACTCTTCGGTTTTTATGTGAAGCAGCATTCAGGCTCATGTGGGGTATAAACACAGCATTGACTAGTTAGGTCAAATGGCCTGTTTCTGTGATGTAATTATGTAGAAACTGTTGCAACAAGTGGTTACTTTATACTACTGGCTGTGAATTCTGTGTAGGAAACTGGCCTAAGGCTACCAAACTCATGAAAGGGAAGAGTTACATTTGTGTTCAGGTGAATAACCTCCAGTGTGGCTGAGCCCTGAACCTAAATTAATAGTCACTAATAAAATAAGTCACTCATTTCCACGACTGTTTGTGGGACATTGCTGTGCGCAATTGGCTGCCACGTTTCGCCCACAAAATATACAGCCAATTCACTTTACAGTATATTCTGTGAAGCGCTTTGAGACATCTCAATGACATGATATGGTGCTATATCAAAATCAAGGATTATTAGTACAATAAAGTATTATTGTTAGTCAATATTTAGTTCCCTAGGTTGGGCCACTTTTAGAAGGTTCGCCTGCGGAACTGGCCTGCATGGAAATTTCTCAATGCGGGTTTGGATTGCTTTAGAAACACTCCGCAGTAGCCATTTATCAGCTTGAATGTGGATTCCTTACCGCAATGAGTCAAAGTTCCAGTCAAGCAACAGTGGCTTTTAATGAAAGTACCATCATAATTAGTGGTAGAAAGGAAGAATACATCTTAGATAAATATTGTTTGGCCAAGCTCCACCCCCCATTCTGAGTAGGGTCATAGAATCATAGAATTGTACAGCACAAAAAGAGGCCATTCGGCCCATCGAGTCTGTGCCGGCTCTTTGAATAGAGCAATTAATGTCAATCCCACTCCCCAGCCCTTTTTCCATAACCCTACAAACCCGTCCTCCTCAAATACCTGTCCACCACGTTTTTAAAAACTAGTTATCGAATCGGCCTTGACCACCCTTTCAGGCAATCAGTTCCAGATTCGAACAACTCGCTGCATGAAAAAATGTCTTCTCACCTCCCCTCTGCTTCTTTTAGAAACTGTTTTAAATCTGTGACCTCGAGTCACCGACACACCCACCAGTGAAAACAGTTTTTCCCTTTCTAACCTATCAAATCCCCTCATGATTTTGAAGACCTCTATTAGGTCTCCTCGTAGCCTTCTCTGCTCCAATGAGAATAATCCCGGCCTCTCCAGCCTTTCCTCATAATCAAGGTCCCTCATTCCTGGTACCATCCTCGTAAATCTCCTCTGCACCCTTTCCAATGCCTTAACATCCTTCCTACAGTGTGGTGCCCAGAACTGGACACAATATTCTAACTGAGGCCTAACCAGTGTTTCATATAGGTTAATCATAACCTCCTGACTCTTGTACTCTATGCCCCTATTTATAAAGCCTGAAATCCCATTTGCCCTTTATACAGTCTTATCTACCTGTCCTGCCACCTTCAAGGATTCATTTAGCTGCACCCCCAGGTCTCTCTGTTCTTTTACACCCCTTAAGATTGTATTACCAGCCTATATTGCCTCCCCTCATTCTTTCTACCAAAATGCATTACTTCGCATTTCTCTACATTGAAACTCATCTGCCATGTGTCTGCCCATTTTACCATTCTGTCTATGTCTTCTTGCAGTTGACTCCTATCCTCACTGTTTATCACCCTACCTAACTTTGTGTCGTCCGCAAACTTGGAAATGGTGCTTGCTATACCCAAGTCCAGATCATTTATGTATATTAAGAAGAGCAGTGGTCCTAATACCGATCCTTGGGGGACACCACTGTACACTTACCTCCAGTCAGAAAAGCAGCCATTCACCACAGATCTCTGCTTTCTGTCTCCCAGACAGTTTTGGATCCACGCTGCCACTGTCTCTTTTATACCATGGGCTTCTATCTTTCTTACAAGTCTTTCATGTGTCACTTTGTCAAATGCCTTTTGAAAGTCTATATAAACTACATCAACTGCACTACTTCATCCACCCTCTCCGTTACCTCATCGAAAAATTCTATTAGATTTGTTAGACAAGATCTGCCTTTAACAAATCCGTGCTGGCTGTCCCTA